ATGGCCTTCGTCGGAAGATGGAGTCAGCTGATGCCCTTTGCGTTAAATTAAATTAAATTAAATTAACAGATTAAATGATGATGATAATAATAATAATAATAATAATAATAATAATAATAATAATAATAATAATAATAATAATAATAATAATAAATAAATAAATAATAATAATAAATAATAATAATAATAATAATGAATAAATGAATAAATAAATAAATAAATAAATAAACAGAGCAAAGATTGGAACACGAAACTAAAACGACCCGAGAGAATATCTTTGCAGTGACCCCATTCACGGACGTCTGTGATACTGTCATGGCATGGGTGTCATTTCTTTGTGCCTCCTTCTCTTATGTCGTTGGCTCTAGGTTAATACAGTGGCAGGTGACTTCATTTAAGACCCCGTTCAAATAATTTCAAGTTAGCACATGCCCCAGATCAGCTTCCACTTGGCCAAAGAAGTATGAATTAGTATTCGGTGACGAGTTTAAAAGCATAACCAGCTGATGGAAAATTCTAAAAGTCAAGATACGTTTATTTGATCACTAAAAGCACATTTAACCCTGCCTCGTATTGATTTAATGACACAGGAAAATGTTAATAATGGCTGCATTGTGCCTGGTGATTTCTTGCTAATGTATAGGTATTGCTATTGTTTGGTATTTAACGAGCAGAGCCTGCTGTCTTCATTTTTCACTTATTTGTATGGGAATGTAGAATATAGCTTGTCATTTGCAGAGAAAGCTGTGGTACTTATTTCGTGAGTAGGTTTCGATACTTCGGTGCTTGAAGATGGAACCAATAGCACCAAATAAAACTGCCAATGAAAAAGCCCCTTGGTTGTTTTCACACTCAGAGCTCTCACAACTCTCAGGGGAACGCCACTTACGGGACTAGGAATTACTTCTAATGTCATGGAAGAATATAATTTGGTTCGTCCTCGTCTGCCAAACAATCACATCTCGTCTGCCTTGCCTTCCGCAGGTCCACAGCTGCATCACCTGCTGCTCCGAACACCTGTGCAACGTCGGCAGGTCCTCCGGCCGGCGTCCCGCGACCAGCCCTTCCCTCCTCGTTGCCGCCCTCTCCGCCGCCCTCGCTCCCGCCCTCGGGGCCCTCGCCTCGCCCGAGAGGAAGAGCCTCGCTTGGTCTGCTCGTCCGCTGCTCGCCCCTCTCCTCGGGCTCTGCCTCCTCCTCGCGGTGTCCTCCTCCTCAGATCTCTTCCCCGACAATTAAGCGAATCATAGATATATTTTCTTTGAAATAAGAACTAAGGAATTCGTTTCTTCTTCCAACCACATGACTTGACCCAAGGTTATTGGTGCCGACCAGAGGGACGGAGCTGTGTGCAGCCCGTCTCTTGCCGTGATATGTTTAGCCTGTGTTGACTGCTCTTACTCGTTTTTTTTCCTTTCTCAGAAAGATTGAACAAGTTTCCAAAGTAACATGAACAGACATATCATGAACAGATACCTGATAAGTTGCTGTATCACCCGAGGACTCAGTTCCTCCGAATGCCAACCGGAAATTATTTACGCGTGGAGAAACCTGTGGAGGACGGCCGGCCGGGGACGCCGCGGTACCACCTCGTCCAGCAGCATTCGCGGATCAAAAACTAGATCTTAATTATGCTTAGAGAAACCATGTAGTTGCCTCATTTGGACCACTGACCCGCTGATTGGCCGAGGAGATCATGTTCTCCTATTCTCAACCACATATATATATATAAAATGAGCTTCATAGATTATACAATTAGTGAGTTCGATTTTTCCGAACACCATTTGCTTGTGTGTATAAACCCAAAGAGCTGATAACCGTCCCAGTGAGGCGGGGAAGTGCTTCCGACCAGCCACCGTGCTGGGGGTTGAGACCAGTGGTTCCCTCGACCAAACAGTGAGACGAAAACAAACAATAACCAAAAAAAGGAGTCAATAACAAAGCAATAACGATCACATATCAGCGAATGATGCGGTAATTTTCGAGATGTAGTGGTTCTAGATAACGCGACTCATTTTAGTAGCTGCGTCGTCGATCTGAGCGACGTCTTAAACCTCTAGCTCTTGGACTTACCTGTAGGAGGATCACTGCAGTTGCATTCTGAGAGAAAATAAAGCATGTAGCGGATGTTACTCTAGGACAGTCAAATTTAAACCTATATATTGGATTACTTTATGCAGTGATTAATTAGAAGTACATACGCGCCACTGAGAGCATGCACTCTCAATATATATATGTATATATATATATATATATATATATATTATATATATATATATATTATACATACATACATACATATAAACATATATACATATATATATATATATATATATATAATATATATATATATATATATATATATATATATATATAATGTGTGTGTGTGTGCTTGTATGCATATGTGTTTAGGTATGTATATATATATATATATATATATATATATATATATATATATATATATATATATATATATATATATATATATATGCATGTAGATGCA